TCTCAGCTCCAGAGTTTTATTCCCTTCGAGTGAACTAGCTGCAAGATCTTTTATCAACTGTTCCACCAAAACCACTCTCCGTTGTCCAGCCACGGCACTCTCAACCACGACTCGGTTAAGCTCCTTGTACATCCCATCAATTTTGTTGGCCAGCAGGTCGTGAATCTTGCGAACTGCCATGCCTCCGAATTTGTGGTAGAAGAGAACCGCTCCAAACCCAAACAGGAGGATCCCCCCCACCAAAATGCCAAAGATATATACGTCTTCCGAATCTTCAATAGACAGGACCGACAGACAGAGGGGCTGAAACTTGTTCCAGCTGTCAAGCGTATACCCCGCAGGTGAAGTCCCGTCCGGGCACACGGGCTCTCCAGACCCACGCTTACGTGTTGAAAAGATAGAATCAATTGCGTTGAGGGACCAGTTAATCATTTCCATTCTTGCTAAAAGTTGTCTGTGGCAAAACTCCAGGAAGTTTACAAAGTTCAACATATTTCCTTTACATGTCTACAGTTGAGAGGATGGGTTGACAGGATAAATCGTGTTTTTGACAACAAATATATGTCTTTATCGCGCTCAACCACAGCTTGTAATATCACCAAGTGAGGCCAGCCTCAGGGTAGGGGGCGACTGCATCCGATTTCATCATCTTCTGCTGAGGGCAGCTACAGGTTTGGCTAACATACATTTAACACATTTTTAGATAATTTAAAATGCACTTAGGGTAATTCTTTGCTTCCAATAATGATATGAATGATAAGGAAGAGAGGTGAAAGGTAAGGTTGATTTTAGAAATTGGATGAACCCGAGAGTTGGCTGCAGCTAGCGAAACACGTGAGGAGTTTATGGAGGAGAGACCCGTTTTGTTTTACTTTTTAAAACTCATTGAACTTATTTACAAATGGAGGATTACATATCTTCACTCAAACTATTATCTGGACTTAAACATGAAACTGGTCTGAACTTAAGTGGTCTGTGCAGTTCAGGTTTCAAGTAAGACCCATAACACACATTGAAATGTGCTTTTTACAAACTTTTGCATTTTGTATGAGCAAAAACATATTCTGCTGTAGCCAAACAAATGGTGAATAAGCCGCTCTATAGGTCGTGTTGATTTATATGATATATATGTACATCTGATTGGGGTGAAGTCAGTGCCTCACCGATCACCAACCTCACCGCACGTCACTGATTTTGAGAAGTCCCTAATGCTAACAGTCTCCCTCTGTTCTGACCCTCGCTCTCACAGTGTGGCAATAACACTTCAGACGTTCAAGAATCAGACTTTATTTAATCTCCAGATCACACTCACACACTCACTCTAGTCGCTCTGCTCATAAAACACACTTTTCATTCTTTCATTCTCATTCATTCATTTCTCATCGCTGACGCTCATTACTCCAAAACGCGTTCCCGTGTCCGCGGCGCACACAAACGTGTCCCACCGAACCGCTGCTCTTTGGTAAAGACACGTCTCACACATTGCTCTCATTGCTCTGAAACAAACAAGTCGTTTCGTGCTCGAGCTGTTAGCTACAGTAGCAGAATGTAAACAGGAAGAGAAACGGAAACGTAACTCGCATAAGTTTTCTGCTAAGAAGTACAGATAATGGGTGAGAAACCTTCCTATGTTGAAGACATGTTTCTATCTGAAGGTCCTGATGATGGAGGTGTATCTGGACTCTCTGCTTCCCTCAGTGTGAGATCATGGTTCATCACACGATCCACAAAAGATGCTCCAATGTCCGAAATATTTTCAACCGCGTCCTTGTCTCTCCTTGTCTTTTTCTTCCTCTTGCTCTGCCTCCAGACTTGCAACGTTCTGAAAATGGCTAAACTGAGGCCTGTTTGTGTCTGGCTGATGTGTGTCGCGTTTTGTAAGTCAGTGTTTTCAAGTGTATGTAGCAGTGTGTTCTATCACACAATGTGTTTGGTAATTTGAATATATGTGTTTTCCCTAAGATAACACAGGATTGCATTTATGAACAAAGTGTCTTATGTATGTGTGTAGTGAGCCGGAGAAAGTGTGTTGCAGAATGAGAAAGTGTGTTGCAGAATGAGATAGTGTGTTGCAGAAATAATGTGCAAAGCAGTACTTCTGTTTGTTTGTCTTTTGGTCTAAGCATGTGTCTATTGTGTTCAAGCAATAGGAAAAACTAGTACAAAAGCAGTTAAAACAGGCCGGTCAAATTTGTCCAAATTAAGGGGCGAGAAACGAACACGACTTATGCCCCGTCCACACGTAACCGGGTATCTGCTTAACCGCAGATATTTGTCTTCGTTTGCACCTGTCATCCACATGACAACGCATCATAAAAACGAAAATATAAAAAACCTCCGGGCAAAGTGGAGATTTTTGAAAACTCCCTTTATGCATAAATTTGCGTGTAGACAGAGAAACCGGAGTTTTGCGGTTCGCAGCAGCGAACTTCCTCGCTCCACATCAGAGAGCAGCAAAGTGATCACGGGGACTCACGCTCGAAAACAACCAAAACAGGAGCTAAACCAGGGCTGAGGACGGGGGTCAGTGCTTATGAACATGTCTTTATCCTGAGTTTCTTCTGTGGCTGTAAAAGTGCCGCTACAGAAGTACCGGCACCAGCATCAAAGCTCCGCCCACTTCTGTGTTTTACCCCCAACGCAGGACGGGACGTCAAAGGACGCACATGTTTGGAATGTTACGAATGTGATTGAAAACGCAGATGTTCGGTTATGTGTGGATGCAAAATATTTTATAAACGGAGGGGGGGGAAATATTCGGTTTTAAAAATACCCGGCTACGTGTAGTCATGGCCTTAAAGGTTAAGGAATAAAGTGTGGCTGCAAAAACGCTGACGTTAACATGTGCCTCCAGCCCTCTGTACTCCTAAAATGCTTCCTCGGTGCTCCGCCATGTCTGTCCCGATGCTGGGGACAGACATGGCAACAGAAGAGGTTGCCGGTGGTTCCTGCATTGTTTGCTGCATTGCTTAATGTCTGTGATACATTTATTATTGGATCTGTGATTGGCCCGGGATATTTGGGAGATCCTCAGGCTTTATGGCGGGGGGTGTCTTGGCCCCGTCTTGGCTGCCCTATTGTGGCCATGTATAGGATTTCTGTTCTCTGCAGGTGTCGATGGGGAGTGGCATTGGCTGTGCGTGCATAGGTCCGACCATGAATCTATTATAATAACTGGATAGGGTATTACTAGCTTGGAGCTGAAGGACCCATGTGCTCGCAGGATTCTCGCGGTACTGCAGAGTAAATTCACGAGGGCTACCCAGAAATTTCCCCCTAAGAACTCAATGTAAACTAAAGCAGCTCGACCTCAGCTGACAGAAAACCTACAGCTTTCACAAAGGTCGGATCTTGTGGGGATTTTAGTGTAGCCTGGCCCTCGGCAGACCCTTTTGGTTCCGTTAGAGAAAATAATCGACCAATCAGGATCGCCAGTGTTACGTGGGGTTTGCACCACCTTCTCAAGGGTGTCACACGTGGCAGCAAAAGCAATCCAAGATGGCGGACATGAAGTCCGTGATTTTTTTTTTTAAGTTTAAATACGAACAAATTAAGACACGGATGTCACTTTTATTGCAATATAAGGCGAGATGTTGATGGTTCCATGTGTGTGTTAGAAAGACTGTTAAGAGAATGTTAAGTTAGGGTATAGCGCCCATTATTGGCATTATAATGTAAGCGTACCCTCTGTAGTTAGAGCACGCTGTATTTGTTTCTTTAGTTAAGCACGAGACTCTGGCGTGCAGCATCTATCGGCAGCTCCGAGTTGTGCGTTATTGACAAAAAATCACGATCACATACACTACGTATGGTTCCTATGCTGCTGATTGAGCTTCATTAAAGACAGCTAAAGTGACATCCGCATCCTGTCTCCTGTGTCCTGACCGACACTCCAGAGTGGATATCAGACCTACACCTATACAGTCCTTTAGTCCTGAGATAGTACTCTCTAATAATTGGTCCTCCTTTCGCCGGATTTGATATCTTCTATGGACATCAGGATGCAGTCTAATGTCAGAGCCGATGATTCTACTCGCCCCAAGCGGAATATGCAACCTCCTCCCTATCTCCATGACTACGATGTGAGTTACACCGGAGCTCGGCGCACTAATACAGATCAGCCTATCAGAGACACTGTACAGTGCCCAGTGCGAGCTCCAGAAGAGAACCTTTACTCACCTGTGTCATCACGTTCCTCCAGTGCAGTGAGTCAAGATCAGTGGCACTACACTGTTGATGAGTGGACATCCTCCGTGGTTGAGGACATGAATCTAGGGCACCCTACACGGGCCACGAGTGCGCTTCGTTACTCATCCCCATATCAAAGACCAAGAGAACCCTTTCCTCAGTCATCACGCCGGAATCAGCCTCCTATTTAATTCCCAAGCCAGCCAAGAGAGCTCACACCTCCTATCCCACCGAGACAGCGACTTCGTCAACGTGATACTGCACAGAATTATAGCCATGTTCAAAGTGAAGACTGGGCCCCTCAGATCGATCCTCCTCCAGACCCCACTGTCAGACAGACCTCCATGATTGATAGACTGGATAATCTGATGGCAGAACTTACACTCTTAAAGGAACAGGCAGTAGTAACCCCACATCCATCTACTCTCCCCAGAGAAGTGACTAATACACCTTATTATGGTCCTCCACAGCCACAGTCCAGAGTACCACCCTTGTATGACTATAATACACAGAGGTATTATCAGCCACCAGGGGGCGCCTTTTCCCCACAAAATAGAGACCCAGCCTTCCAACCTGTGCAGTCATTTAGGACCCAAGAGAGAACCTATAAAGGGCCTACTCCATCCATCCCAAACTTCACCAGAAGAGATCCAGGTGAATTCTCCCGCCTGAAAATAGCTCTAAATAATTTGCTCCCTCAAGATAGCACAGAGCTATTCAAGTTCCAAATTCTGATGGATCATTTAAAGCTAGAAGACGCTCGTTTAATAGCGGATGCCTATCTTAACTCTCCTGCTCCATATACAGACACTATGGCTACTCTTACAGAGAAGTTTGGCCAACCTCACCAACTGGCCCTACAGAAAATAGCTCATGTTATGGACTCCCCAGACATTAGAAGAGGGGACACAGAAGGCTTTGAGAGGTTTGCACTGCAGATAAGAGCACTTGTGGGCATGCTACAGACCCTGGGCCAGGAGGGAGAGATAGAGCTCCGTTGTGGGTCCCATGTTGCACGCCTCCTCAGTAAACTTCCCACTGAGATGAGGTCAGAGTTCAAAAGATACATGTGCCGCAACGCCACTGCAGTTTATGATATAATAGAGTTTTCAGCGTGGCTGCAGTTAGAAACATGGTGCCAAACCAGTGATGGACACAAGGTGAGTTATGGAGTGAAAGAGAAAGCTCCCTCAAAGCCAGACCGTCATCGTGAGTCGAGGCAGTTTCCTCGCTCCACTAATATCCTTCACGGAGCAGAGGATCTCACTCCCAAAGATGAAAGTTTTAGTAGTTCACCAGCAAATAAGAAAGACAAGAATCCTAAAGCTTATTGCCCCTACTGCGACACCGAAGACCACTTCCTAAGTCAGTGCGCCACTAATTGCTTCAAATGCTTCGATAAGGTTCAGATGATTGACTGGATCAAAACTAATAGACGCTGTTGGCGCTGTGGCAGATCACACCAAGCTGCACAGTGCAACTTAAAGAAGCCATGCAGTAAATGTCAGGGTAAACACCTACTCATATTACATGAGGTCAATAGTAGAGAACCAAAAGACGGTAACTGCTTAGTCAGCTCAGCTACTGAAACGCTGCTTCTGGATAAGCCTTCCGACCCAGCCCGTGTCCTCCTCAAAGTAATCAGAGTACTCCTGCGGCACGGGGACAAGACATTAGACACGTACGCTGTTCTAGACGACGGGTCAGACCGTACTATGCTTTTGACCGCTGCAGCACAACAACTGGAGGTCACAGGTACTCCCGAAGACATATCCCTCAGAACAATAAGACAGGACACTCAGATCGTGCATGGTGCTTCAGTGTCCTTCGAGATTTCTTCTCCTTATCAGCCAAAGAAAGTCTACAAGATTACGAATGCCTTCACAGCTCAGCGCCTGGGCTAGCAGAACATTCCTATCCCATTGCTACCCTCCAGAAGAAATATAAGCATCTTGTAAACCTGCCCTTGCATGCATTCAGTCGCGTCTCACCGTTGTTGTTAATTGGTGCAGACCATCCACACCTCTTGTCTCCCATAGAGCGTGTGCGTCTTGGCCCTCCGGGCGGTCCAGCTGCCATCCACACTCGCCTTGGATGGACATTACAAGGACCAGCCAGAACAGTCGAGTCACAGTTACATCCATAGCAGTGCCTCTTCACGTCACTCAGCCCTGAAGCCGTTGAACTGAAGAGGAATGTGGAAAAGCTATGGCAAGTCGATATTTTTCCCTTCAGAAACGAGAAAGAAGTCACTAGATCCCGAGAAGACAAAGAGGCGTTACACCATCTCCACAACAAGACAGAGAGGGTGAATGTGAACGGGACTCTAAGGTATGCCACACCTCTTTTGAGAAAGAAGGACTCACCTCTTTTCCAAGCTACCCAAGAAGCTGTGCTGCCAAGTCTCAAGAGCATGGAGAGACGCCTGGCGCGAGACCCTGACAAGGCGGCTGCATACTGTATTGAGATGGAGAAGCTCGAGGCCACAGGGGTCGTTGCCAGACTCAGACCAGAGGACCAGAACAAGTGCAGTGAGAGCTGGTTCATACCTCATCACATGGTCCACCACAACGGTAAAAACAGAATTGTGTTTAACTGCTCATTCTACTACAAAGGGCTCAACGTGAACGAGTGGTTATTACCTGGACCAACACTGAGCCCGTCCCTGGTTGGAGTGCTTTTGCGCTTCAGAGAACACAGCATAGCCATCAGTGGGGACATCAAAGGAATGTTCCATCAGGTGTGCTTGCTACCCAAGGACAAACCCCTTATGCGGTTTATCTGGCGCAGTGACCGAGATAAGCCTCCAGACATTTATGAGTGGCAGGTCCTCCCCTTTGGGACCACTTGTAGTCCCTGCTGTGCAACCTTTGCCCTCCAGCAGCATGTGCTCCAGAATAGCCAACCAGAAGAAGATATGAGGTTCACAGTAGAGCGGTGTTTCTATGTGGATAATTGCCTGCAGAGTGTTACCACTGTGGAAGAGGCACGACAGCTGGTCGACAAACTCAGAGCTCTCCTGATCCACGGGGGTTTCGACATCCGCCAGTGGTCAAGTAACAAGCCGGAAGTTATCTGCCACCTCCCACCAGAAGCTCGGTCTGACAAGCTAGACCTCTGGCTTTCACACGACAAAGCAGAGGCACAGGAATCCACTCTTGGATTGAGCTGGCGGTGTGATACAGACACTCTCGGATTCAAGCATCGATCCAAAACATTCGGTGCGCCAACCATGCGAAACATCTATCGCACCTTAGCAAGCCAGTATGACCCTCTGGGATATATCCTGCCCTTCACAACCAGAGCCAAGGTCATTGTTCAGCAACTGTGGGCTAAGCACAGACAGAGACTGGGATGACACCCAACTCCCAGAGGAGCTGTTACAGCAGTGGCTAACTTGGGAGAAGGAGCTGGAGAGACTACCAGAGATCACTTTGCCCAGATGCTACACTGCCCCAGGTATGGAGAGCCCTGACGTGACGCGAGAAGTGCATATCTTTTGCGACGCGTCAGAGCGCGCATATGGTTCGGTGGCACACCTCCGCACAGAAGATCAGGAGGGTAATGTACACTTGTCCTTCCTTATTGGCAGATCCCGTGTCGCCCCCAAAAAGCAGCTCTCTATCCCAAGATTAGAGTTGTGCGCTGCTCTCACAGGAGCTCAGCTGCATAAGCTCAGAGCTACACACTTTGGTCCGACTCTACCACAGTTCTAAGATGGCTCAACTCCACCTCCTGTCACTTCAAGGTTTTTGTTGGGACCAGAATTGCAGAAATCCAAGACCTGACAGAGCAGAGCACTTGGAGATATGTGGACTCTCCCAATAATCCTGCCGACGATCTGACAAGAGGGAAGACACTGCCAGAGCTAGTACAGCCAAACCGTTGGAGCCAGGGGCCAGATTTCCTCACACTACCTGCAGATAACTGGCCTTCGAATCCTTCCATCACTGCGGCAGAACCCCCTCAAGACATGTCAGAGCTAAAGAGATCAGTCATATGCACAATGGCTGTCACAAGCTCGGATCCACCCGGCTCGAACCATTCCATTGCCACCACCTGGCCAGAGCTAATAGAAACCAAGGTGAAGGAGCTTCACGGGGCGGCCGGGCAACAAGATCCTGCACTCTCAGCCATTCCTCCTGCCGAAATTTATAAGACGGCAGAGCACCAGATCTTCCAGTCAATACAAAGAGAGAGCTTCACAGATGAATACAACCTGCTGAAGAATGGTAAACCAATTGCCACTAACAGTCGCCTCTCATGTCTTGCCCCACAGTACGACAAAGAAATGGACCTGATCCGAGTGGGTGGCAGATTGGGTCAAGCTGAGAACATTGAGACGTCTGTGGCCCATCCCATTATCCTTGACCCCAGCCATCCCTACACAAGGCTGCTAATTAAAGACTTTGATGTCCGCCTCTGTCACCCAGGGCCTGAACGAGTATTCGCAGAGCTTCGCCGTTCAGTGTGGATCCTGCGAGGACGAGAGGCAGTCAGACGCTACCAACATGGTTGTCTTGAGTGTAGGAGATGGAAAGCTAAAGCTGCTTCTCAACAGATGGCCGACCTCCCTGTAGCCCGACTCCGGCTGTTTAAACCCGCCTTTTATTCCACCGGCATGGATTGCTTTGGGCCTTTCCTGGTCAAACTGGGACGGCGGCAAGAGAAACCATGGGGTATACTATTTAAGAGCCTCACCACAAGGGCCGTTCATGTAGATCTCCTGTCATCAATAGTGTAGGGTGAGGGAAAGGTGAGCGCCAATCGGGTGTGAATAACAGACCCTTTCCGTAAACATGCCCTCCCTAGCTCCTGAGACTTCAAAGCAACTGCGGGTTCAATTGAAGGTTAACATTCACCAGGAACACTACAACGAGACCCAGAGGGGCAATAAAACAACAGAACAGGACATCTGTGTGCCCCCTGCCAGACGGAGATCAGGAATCAGTCATCAGCAATCGCTCATGAGACATTCCACAACCTGAGACTCTCCCACGGCGCTCTGGCGCTCCCTAGCGGACACTGGACACCACTGCACCCAAGGCGGACACCCGAAAAGGACATTACTCTGTAATATCATGTCGATAACGTTACGGACCTTACTCGTGTGTGTTGATGTCTGTGATGTAAATGCACTGCGTGTTTGTACATGTCTTATGATCATTTGCATCAATCGTGTGTGTTTCCTTTACAAACTGTCTGTTGTGAAGGGGTTTGTCCACAGAGGGCAGGGGCGGCATGGACACGCCTCCCCTGGGAAGTCAATATAAACACGAACAATGCCATAGAACTTCCTCTTGTCTTCTCCTGAAATCACCATTCCAACCACCCCGGCCCATCTGCGTCCCGCGGCACGTGTCTCCTACTACGGTCGCGCCTGCACGCATCGGGCCTCCTACTCCGCAAAACACACTCTCCTCGGCTCGGGACCTTATGAACTGTTCATCACCAGCCTCTTTTCCGTGGCTCTGGACTCTACGCACGCAACCCATTCCGGACTGGGCTGCATACGCGTGAATCAGCAGCTGGACCAACTCGCTGGCTTTGTACCTCCCGCCTGCCCAGACAAAGGAACCACGTGGGCCGATTCCCCAACCCAAATCCTTCCTCCATCCTCTACGCTCCTACAAAGTAAGACTGTTCTTGTTAAATGTGTGATTTGAATGAAATGTATGCCACTCCTGCTTTAATGTGACCAGAAATCCCCTTCGTTATATTTTTACCTTCATTTTGTAATCAATAAACCCCTTTTCTTTAACTCAATCCTATCAGAGTCGTGTTGTTAGATCTCGGAATATCCCTGGCCGATTTACGAATTAACTACCTTTTAGATTTATAAGACTGACTCGAGGCAAAAGTTGGTTTGGATCTGTCGTAGACCCTCAAAATGTCTACTGGTGCCCAAAATAAATAAGACAGACCCATTGGTGGAACGGCGAGTTTCTGATCCGGAGACTAGCCGCTCCACACTACCAAATTTATACTATAATAACATAATCAGCAATATAAGTAGTTACCCTACAATAGATACCGACTCCTTCTCGATGGCCTTCACTAGATTTATCGCTCGGCGAGGGAAGCCAGCAGAAGTGTACTCGGACCAGGGTACAAACTTTAAAGGAGGGGACAGAGAACTAAGAGAAGCTTTCACCCAAATGTCTCCTGCCCTTCAAGAACAGCTTTCCAAACAGCAGATCCATTTCAAACTTAACCCACCTGCAGCGCCACACTTCGGTGGTGCGTGGGAAAGAGAAATACGCTCCATTAAGACAGCCTTGTACACAACCATCGCGCCACAGAGTGTCAAAGAAGAAGTGCTCAGAACTGTCCTAGTGGAGATCGAAGGCATTCTGAATGCAAAGCCACTCGGTTATGTCTCGTCCGACATATCTGACCCTGACCCCGTGACGCCAAACTACCTCCTGATGGGGCGGCCTGATAGTTCCCTGCCACAAGTAGTCTACCCCGATGGTGAAATGCGAGGACGACGAAGCTGGCAGATCATTTCTGGTCAGCGTTTATCCGGAACTACCTGCCCAACCTACAGACCAGAAGCAAGTGGAGGACTCCAGCAGACAACATCCAGAAAGGAGCCGTAGTCCTTCTTGCAGACCCTCAGGTTCCGCGTGGTCAGTGGAGAATCGGAGAAGTGACAAAAGTCATGCCCGGACCCGACGGCCTCATCAGAACAGTGGAAGTGAAGATTGATGGCAAGAGCTATGTTCGACCCGTAGTAAGACTCATTGTTCTCCCACAGGTGAAAGACGATGATGGACTACCGTCTCCAGATTAGTCTGTGTTTTGGTTCCAATTTGCCTTGCAAATTGGGGGGCGGCTATGTTAGAAAGACTGTTAAGAGAATGTTAAGTTAGGGTATAGCGCCCACTATTGGCATTATAAT